TTAATCCAAATTTCATTCCATTCTTATATGGGGCAAGATTATGTGCCTTCAAAAAAAAGGATAACGGTATCCGTCCTATTGCCGTTGGTTCCACATTTCGACGCTTAACTTCAAAATTAGCTTGCAGGTACATAATCTCTAACCTTAAGACCAAATTTCAGCCTACTCAACTAGGTTTTGGCACTAGAGGTGGCTGTGAGGCGGCGGTACATTCAGTGCGTACATTTTTAACAAACTCTGATGCAGATGTTCTTGTGAAGGTTGACCTAAGGAATGCTTTTAACTCTATCGATAGGGTAACCTTGCTGAAAAAAGTGGCTAACAATACCCCCGAAATTTATCATTACGTTTGGCAATGTTATAGTCAAAATACTAACTTGTTTTACGAAAACCATGTTATCGATTCTGCTGTTGGTGTTCAGCAGGGTGACCCTCTGGGTCCAGCACTTTTCAGTTTGGGAATTCAACCCATTATTTCAAATTTGAAATCCAAGCTGAATGTCTGGTACCTAGACGACGGTACACTGGGAGGTAGAGCAGATGACGTCCTCAGCGATCTTACTCATATTTTTCGAAATTTTAAAAATATTGGCCTTGAACCAAATAGCAATAAATGTGAAATATTTTTTTCCAATAATTTATCTACTTCTCATAGAGACACTTTAATTCAAAATTTTAATCATATTTGTCCAGGAATAAAAACTGTCAATACGGAATCACTATACCTGCTAGGTGCCCCGTTGTTTTTCGATAGTATTAAACCTGTTTTAAAAACAAAATTTGATCAGTTTTTAAACCACGTTGATAAATTGTATAAATCAAACCCCCACATAGCTCTTACTATTTTAAAATATTGTCTTCTTGTACCTAGATTTACATACTTACTCCGCTCGAGTCCAGTCTGGAAATGTTCGGATATTTTACAAGATATTGATAATAATCTTAAAATTGCTATAGAAAAAATTCTAAATTTAACTTTAAATACAACAGCCTGGACTCAAGCTACTTTACCTATAAAATTTGGTGGCATTGGTGTGAGAAATCTTTCTAGCGTTGCATTGCCTGCTTTCCTTGCTTCCGTGCATAGTGTCAGTGACTTATGTAACATAATTTTAAATAATAAAGTAGACCTATGCTTTGCTACGGAGGCAGGGCAGACATGGCAAACGCTCTGTCCTGGTGAAAATATTCCACTGGAAGTTAACCAACAAAAACAGTGGGATATTCCGTTGGTACAGGGCGTGCAGAAAGATTTGTTTCATAATTTCCATAGTGACCAAGATAAGGCACGCCTTCTAGCTGTTTCGACTAAGGAATCTAGTCACTGGTTACACGCTTTACCATCAAGTAATCTCGGCACATTACTTGATAGGGAAAGCTTGCGTATTGCCGTAGGAATCCGACTAGGAGCAGCGATTTGTCAACCCCATCAATGCCCCTGTGGTAGCAGCGTCGACAAGTTTGGGCTCCACGGACTTTCATGTAAGAAAAGCGCTGGTAGGTTTTCACGACACAGTTCTTTGAACGATGTCGTCCGAAGGGCTCTTGCCTGTATAAATGTTCCGTCGGTTTTAGAGCCTTGTGGAATATTTAGAGACGATGGCAAGAGACCCGACGGTATGACATTGGTCCCTTGGGAGAGAGGTAAAGCCCTAGTGTGGGATGCTACTTGCGTAGACACTCTGGCGGCCTCTCATCTCAGGGGTACCTCGTTTAAAGCCGGGGCGGCATCAGAGGCAGCTGAACTGAGTAAGTGGCGCAAATATGAGTCTCTGAGAGATGACTACATATTTGTGCCATTTGCTGTAGAGACTATCGGTCCGTGGGGTCCACGTGCGGTGAAGTTCCTAAAGGAACTTCATCCGCGGCTGGTCGTTGCTGCTGGTGATAAGAGGGCTGGTTCTTTCCTCGCTCAAAGGCTAAGTATAGCCATTCAGCGGGGAAACGCAGCCAGCGTTCTTGGCACGATACCGCGGGGAGTAGGACTATATGATAATTAAGTTTCTAGTTTTAGTTTTTTTTTTTTATTATCAAAGTTTTTAATATTGTAGATAAAATTAAGTATTATGTAAAGTTGTATTATGTAGTTACTTGTTGATTTCTTTTACATATTGTGATTTTACATTTAATATTAACTAGCTGTTCCCCGCGACTTCGCCTGCGTGGAGTTATTTTTGCGGAACCCTAAAATAAAAGCAGCCCAAGTTACTCCTTATAACATCAGCTATCTGCCAGTGTGTATAAATATTGACATATATTGACATTAATATTTATACGATACTAACGTCACTAGATGGAGTGACGACCTGGTAAGATATGCAGGAAGTCGATGGATGCAGGTGGCTCAGGACCGTGCTTTGTGGCATTCCTTGGGGGAGGCCTATGTTCAGCAGTGGACTTGTGAAGGGCTGTAATGATGATGATGATGATGAACGTCACTCAATTGTTTTGCCTTCCCGGAACCCCTCCACTAACACTTAAACTTTATGGTATTGTCTTAAAGTTCAAATTGACTTTTAAGTATTATTACGAATCTTTTGTATGGGAATATAGGAAAGTGTTGTTTTTAGACCTTTTTAGTAAATTTTTTAACTTATTTCTAATAATTTAAAAAATTGACTTGAAAATTTAAATATAACTAAACATTCAGTTGGAGAGGTCTCGTCTAATGAAGTCAACGCTCCGTCCCCCTCATGCTCTGATCCAATGTCCCGAAACCTTTCAGCTCGAGTTACAAAACCGTTTTCAGTGCCTAGAAGACTGCAATGAAGTGGACGATATGAATGACAAGCTCGTGGAAACTGTCCATGCGGTCGGAGCTAAGTTCTGCAAGACCCGCCGCAGAAGAACACAAAAACTCTCCGATCACACTCTTAATCTCATGGCTGTTAGACGGGAGATGAAGCTACATTCTTCAACAGATTTGACAGCAAAAAGGCAACTGAACAGACAGATCTCCAAATGCATGCGGCGGGACTTACGCAACTTCAATACAGCTCGTATTGAAGAAAGGATCGAGCGGAACCAAGGCTCCAAATTCTTTGCCAGAGATCTGTCTGCCAGAAAGAGCCAACTGTTAAAGCTGAAGACCGAGTGTGGCAGCATCGTTTCCGGGGCACCTGAGATTTTGAGTGAGATTGAGAGGTTCTATGGGCAGCTGTACACGTCATCGTTGGAGCCACACGAAAGTGTGAGTAACGATCCAAGAGCGAGTCTTATCCGACAATATTCCGATGATATCCCGGACGTCAGTCTGAGCGAGATTAGAATGGCTCTCCAGCACCTTAAAAACGGCAAGGCTTCAGGCGAGGATGGAATTACAGCAGAGATTCTGAAAGCGGGTGGAAAACCGGTAATTGAAATCCTTCAGAGGCTCTTTAATTCCGTTCTCCATGGTGGCATTACACCGGAGGCGTGGAGCAGAAGTGCGGTGGTCTTGTTCCTCAAGAAAGGCGACAACGCTCTCTTGAAGAACTACAGACCGATTTCCCTTCTGAGCCGCGTCTACGTGCTGTTTTCGAGAGTCATTACGAATCGTCTTGCGCGCAGACTTGACGACTTCCAGCCTCCCAAACAAGCCGGTTTCCGAAAAGGCTTTAGCACCATAGACCACATACATACCATTCGGCAAATTGTACAGAAGTCAGAGGAGTACAATTTGCCACTATGTCTGGCGTATGTGGACTATGAGAAAGCCTTTGATTCCGTCGAAATTGGGGCGGTGCTGCAGTCCCTTCAGCGGTGCCAAGTTGACTGTCGGTATATCGAAGTGCTGAAGTGTTTGTACACTAGAGTTACGATGGCTATCCGAGTACAGAACCAGAGTACGAAACCTATCCAATTGCAGAGAGGTGTAAGACAGGGTGAACATGGACAAAACAAAGATCATGTTTAATGTCCATGTCACACCTATGCCGATAGTTGTTGGGAGCACTAAGCTCGAAGTTGTTGACGAGTATGTTTACCTGGGACAAATAGTCCGACTAGGTAAGTCCAACTTCGACCGAGAGGTCAATCGACGGATTCAACTCGGTTGGGCAGCGTTCGGGAAATTACGGCACATCTTCTCGTCAGGTATACCTCAAAACTTGAAAACGAGACTGTACAACCAGTGCGTGTTACCAGTGATGACATACGGAACTGAGACGTGGTCTTTCACTACTGGCCGGATGAGGAAGCTCAAGGTCGCTCAACGAGCTATGGAGAAGGATATCCGCAGTAGAACCAGAGTGACTGACATAGCCCAACAGAAGTGGCAATGGGCTGGCCATATAGCTCGAAGAACCGACAACCGATGGGGAAAAAGCTTCTCGAGTGGCAGCTTCGTACCGGCAGGCGAAGTGTTGGGCGTCCCCCCACTAGATGGAGTGACGACCTGGTAAGATATGCACAAAGTCGATGGATGCAGGTGGCTCAGGACCGTGCTTTGTGGCATTCCTTGGGGGAGGCCTATATTCAGCAGTGGACTTGTGAAGAGCTGTAATGATAATGATGAAGAACCATCTTCGTACTTCAAGGAATATTATAAAAAAAGAATTAGCGAAATCGGTTCAGCTGCTCTTGAGATTTGCGCTTAGCAATACATTCAGCGATTCATTTTTAAATTATAGATAAATATTTATTTATTTTATGGTGTTCCGTAGAATGTTATATAAAGTAATAAACATATTGTGCATATTTTTTTTATTTTTTTTTACATAAGTTCACGGGAACCCCATTCTACTGTTGTTGCATATATATGTCCCACTGCTGGGTTATCTTCCTCTAATTTTTGACAGTTTTTAGAGGAAATCCCTATTCAGGCGCTCACCATTACCTACTATACCTGTACTCATCACTACGCTCAGCCCTTGACCAATGTAAGTTAGGCTTAAGTAAGAGTAACGAATTGCGGCTCAAGTGATAACATTGATACCCATCCCGATAAAGGCTCAAGATATCCTCCCCTTGAGGAAGTAGGTCAAGTATGAGATAATTTGTTAGCTATATTTAAGCCTTACCTTAACTAATATCTCCAATGCCTCCACATAGGACTTCTCAGTTTCGTAAAGTTCAACCACCACGTGCGTTCTTGTGTCCTGAAATAAAAAAAATCCATAAGTAAACATAAGAAAGCAAAAACAGATACTTACATGTTAAGTTTATTGATTATAGAAACTCTGTTCGCAAATTGTTTTCTTTGTAGCGGCTCAATCTAATATATAAAATTCTCGTGTCGCGGTGTTTGTCACCAAACTCCTCCGAAACGGCTGAACCGATTTGTATGAAATTTTGTGAGCATATCGGATAGGTCTGAGAATCGGCCAACATCTATTTTTCAAGCCCCTAAATGATAAGAGTGATCTACCCCTAAATTTTTTTTTATTTTTTATTTTTTTTTTATTTATTACTAGCTGTACCTCGCGACTTCGCCCGCGTGTAATTTAGAGTTTTAATTATATTGCTCAGAACCCTAATTCTTTTACTCAAATATAAGTAGACTAAGTTACTCCTTAGAACATCAGCTATTTGCCGTTGAAAGTCCCGTCGAAATCGGTCCAGCCGTTTCGAAGATTAGCCGGAACAAACAGACAGACAGACAGACAGACCGACAGACAGACAGACAAAAATTTTAAAAATTGTGTTTTTGTTATAAGCACCGTATATACATTCATATGAATTTAGTAAAAAGCTGTTATTTTAACATTACAAACAGACACTTCAATTTTATTTATTTGTATAGATGATTTAGCATTGAAAAATACATTAAACTTCAATTTTTCACCCATCTACGATCAAGCCCTATTATTTAATCGGAAAAACAACGTTTGCTGGGTCAGATAGTAGTCTTTATATAATTAAAAATTAAAAAGTTTGTACAACCGACTTCAATATAAATTATTAAGAATAACTCAAAAACTATCGGTCAGACCTTGATCAAATTCATATGGGACTACATGTGAAGCACCAACTTTCAAGTAAAAAAAGAATCATCGAAATTGGTTCGCCCAGTAAAAAGTTATGAGGTAGCACACATAAAACAAAACATACAGTCGAATTGAGTACCGTCTCCGTTTTGAATAAGGCAGAAAATAAACCATTTGTTTTTAATTAAATGCTGTGGCCTATAGACACTGCGATTTCTCCTCGAAGAAAAATCAAAGTAGGAATGCATCGTTACCAGTAATAAGGGTCTCCAGTCCAACTTTCCCCACCCGAAACTCTACAGCACTATGCTGGTATTCTCTTTTTCATTCTGGTATTCTCTGCGAGCTTGTTTACCTCCGTGCTACAGCTGTAATATGCTGCAGTTTGGCACTTCTACGTACCAAATTAAATCAACCGTAGCAGTTTTTGTGCTTAAACATTTTTGGATCAAACTATCTAAAAAAACACTCCGATTTGCTATTCTACTCTATCGTTTATATAACTCTGTTATTTCTTTTCGCAAGCTTTAGTTGTAACGAATGTTAACGTTATCGTAAGACGAGAACCTTCCATTAACGGATTATACGATATCCTAACAAAACAACGAGGTTATCGAGAACACTTGATAATTGGTTATGTGAAAGATTCATGATCATGTTAAAAATATATATATATATTTTTTATGTACATGTAATTCTTGTTGAAAGTATTACTTTACCACTGTTTCGGAAAAAAAACCTTTGTCCTCGGAAGAGCCAGCGAGGAACCCAGTGGGACTTTTTTTTAAACTATACAATATGAAAGGTAGAAACAGCTTTTAAGCGACCACCTCATTCTCAGGGGTTATTATCGACCATTTATATTATAATTACCGTTTTTATTATACCTGCAGTCTTTGTTTAGTAAAATACTTAAATTTGGGAATAGTGCGACCTTGTGTATTTTCTGGGACTGTTGTAATGGCGTAAACATTGCTCCAAGAATGAATTACTAATTCTGAAGAGTCGAGAAATTGGTATCACCAGCTTGTGTTGTGTTTGTACTAAAACTAATTGTTTTTGTGAATATACATTAAATTTTAATAAATATACTGAGAGGGCAAAGTTAATATATTTTTTATATAGGATAAGGGTGACAAACGAGCACACAGTCCACCTGATGGTAAGTGGTTGCTGTGGGCCATAGACATCTACATCTATTCTCGATTACGAATCAAAATGCAGATGCGTTGTCACCCAAAGACGTATTAATACTTTAAAAACATCTTAGTTGTCACCCGTGAGGACTAAGATGGAATGCCTCGTTTCCAGTTCGAGTAAGAGGATTTCAATATAAATAGAAGGAAAAGCCCTGATGTTGGATGCTACGTGCGTAGACCGTAGACACTTTGTCGGCCTCAGGGTAACCTCATTTAGGGCCGGGCCGGCGTTAGAGCTTGTTAAACTGAAAAAATGGTGCAAATGTGAGACTCCAAGAGATGACAATTTATGCGTGCCATTCGCTAAAAGGTCTACCCGTCCGTGGGGTTCAAACACGGTAAAGTATCTAACTGTATCTGCGATGGGTCGTCGCCACTGTGCGAAGGTTGTTTTTATTCTCGTCTAAAGGCTACGTATAACCGACCATTCAGCAACACAGGGCCTAGGGCTTATTGATAATTTTTATTTTTGTTTATTGTAATCAGTAAGTTATTAAAGGCATGAAAATGTAAGGTTATTTATTTATATGACATATACCTAATTTATAATTAAAAATTTTGTACAACCGACTTCAATATAAATTATTAAGAAAAACTCAAAAACGATTGTTCAGACCTTGATCAAATTTATATTCGAATTATATATTTACGTGAGAAGCATCAGTATTTATTTTATTTATTTATTTACTCCTTATTGTACACCAAAATACAAAACAATGAGTACAGTTAAATCTAAAGTAGAATGTGTACAACAGGCGGTCTTATCACTCTGAAAGTGATCTCTTCCAAACAACCTTAGCGCAGAGAACTGATGCAAATAATAGTTTAAATAGAGGAGGGCGTACAAAATAAAAATAAAAATATGAAAATACATATAAATAAAGATAAGTGAAGATTATATACAATATGTAACAAAAACCCTGTGGTTCCCGTTAAGTACGTTATCAGGATCAGTATTCAAACCTATAGAAATAACTTTTTTTCTGCCGACTTCCAAAAAGGAGACGGTACTTAATTCGACTGTATGTTTTTCTTTTTTCATGTGTAATATAACTTTTTACTGGGTGAACCGATTTGGATGACTCTTTTTTATTTGAAAGCTGGTACTTCTCGTGTGGTCTCATATGAATTTAATATCTTAATAACTTATATTGAAGTCGGCTATAGAAAGTTTTAATTTTAAATTATTAAAAACTCGAACAATAATTTTTTTTATTTTATTTAAAAAATAATTGTATGCAAATTGTATGTGGTTTTATTACCTCTGCATTGTCTGGGGAGTAAGAGGATTTTCAAAGACCCCGCTTTACTTAGCTTTAGCATCGGCTAGTGTCAGTAAGAGGTAATAAAACCACACAATACTAAAAAAAAAATTAAATAAAATAAAAAAAATATATGATCGATTTTTAAAAAAAATTGTTTCTATAGGTTTGATTACTGATCCTAATAACGTACTTAACGGGAACCACAGGGTTTTCGTTACATGTTGTATAATTATATAATAGATTAAATGAAAAGAGTAAGATAAAGGAAAAGTAATTTATCTACTCGTAATAGCATTGTAAGTAATACGATTTAACAAGACTTTTGAAAGAGTGCAAAGATTTATCACGACGAATGTGGAGAGGTAAAGAGTTCCACAGAAGTTACTGAAAAGGATTTCTTAAAAAAGGAGGAAGAGTGAAAAGGAACAGAGAGAGAAAGATTGACAGAGGATCGAAGGAACCGATTATGGGTAAGGGAAATTTACTGGAAACGGTATTTTAAGTAATGAGGAGTGGAAGGATTAAACAGCACGCCATACAAAGTGGAGAGAATGTGAGTATTCCTGCGAAGGCGGATCGGGAGCCATTTGAGCTGTTTGCGAAATTCAGAGATATGATCATATTCGAGAAGCCCAAATATAAATCTAATACATAAAGGAGATGTATGAAATTGGGTTGTTAACATCGTTCGTAACAGTTATACAAAAATATGTAGGTAATATAAAGATAAATTATAAGCATAATTAAATGGTTTTTATTTCTGTAGTTTATGGGACAGTTATAAAAACATTTTTTAAAACTGAACAACGAAAACTAATTATTTTACCATAGCAAAAACAAAACGTTTTTAAATATTTTTATGTATTTTGACTATGGCTTTAGATAATGAAGGCTATTTTTAATTATAAATAGCCTTCAGTATAAAAAAAAATCTGTAGAGATTAATACTGAATAGGCTACGTTATTAAACTAAACAAAATATTTTAATAATAGCGGACACAATTGAATTGGCTGTATGGTCGTTGATCATTGCATGTTTCGAAGGAGACTTGGTATTGGTAACTTCGAGTTTAAACTCATACGCATTTGGCATTGTGGTTGTGTTTGTGGATATATTTCATGTTTTTATTTTCGTGAATTAATTTAACTTGACCCGTGGCTTTTCTCTTGATTTACAGGACAGTAGGTTGTTGCAACCACATAATGACAATAATGCGTTACTTGGGTTTTGGGAGGAATAGATAGATAATAGCCTCAGGCTGCTTTTCGAGATGACATTTTATTAATTATTGCAAAAAATAATAAAACAATTAAAAAAGTTTGAGTTGTATTTTATTTAACAATAACTAAAAAACTGCATCCTTTTGTGTACTTTCAATTTATTGTAGCAACTTATTCCAAGAACGAGTGATTTTACTACATAACCTACAAATAATAAACCAAAATAATAACAAAACCTCAGGTTTACAAAAATTTGATTTTTTGTTGTAAGTAGCAAATGTTTAAGTCTTTAAAATAAGTTATAATTAAACTTTGTTCACGCCGGGCCCTAGCTTGTATGGAACCAAGTTCATCTCCTTTTGAATGCGCTCAAGCTTATTAAGCTGTTCCTCGGTAATGTTAAGATAGCAAATATCAGAATAGTCAAGGATAGGCAGAAGTAGAGACTGTGCGAGCGTAACTTTAGTTACTGTGGAAAGAAAATTAC